GGTAATCGGGATGGGTGTGTCAGAGGTGGTGCGGTTGGCGCAGGATAGAGCAGGGTTTAGGGCTGTTGTGCATAGGGTCGCTATGAGTAGGAAACAACTCGACGGCACATAACAACAACAACAACCTACAAAATTTCACAAGAATGGGAAAAGTATGCTTTATAAGAAAACACTTTAATTCAATGACACAGGCCCTTAAAATTTTGTTCTCTGTAATTGAAACGAAATCTGATTTTAGACTAAAGTAAATATTTTCAGGTGAGTATTGAGTCATTCCCTTTCTTGGTCTGGATAGTCAGCTTTCCACCACCCACCATTCAGTTCACAGCAGTCATTGTTATGCATGGTGTGGTACTGGAAGCTACACCACAAGCATCAACTGCTGGCAGAGTCACTCCTGGTAAACAATGGAGCTTCCAGATTAAGACTAGGCACCTACTTCTGAAAATCAGGCCAAGACAATGGATCATCACAGAATACTGTCCAACACAGCATGAGATAAGCCTCAAAATATACAGTGGCTGCAACAATGGACTCAAGCAAGGATGATGAGGATGAAACCATGCTGGGCAACGTTTCACCCTGTTGTACACTGACAGTCATGAGCTGGAGCTAACTACAGCAGTGTATTCCACTTTAGGCATTGTGAATATCTCTTTACCTCAATGTATTGAAAGGTACTTTGTGAAAGCATTTCAACTGACTCGTGGAATTTATTAAAATAATTTTTTCAATAAACTTTTAATGGCATCCAGTACATGCAAGACTCTGTGACCACAAAGATTCATATGCTAGCATTTAATGCTAGCATTTCTCAAGAAGTATAAACATGGGAAACAAAGTGAGAGATCAATATAATGACCTATGATCTGAATAATAGATACTATGTAAAAGCATGGGGACAGAGAGGAATTATTTTTTACATTGGAAACGATCATGAAAGGCTATAGTTTTCATAATTTTGTGTCTGCATAATGGCATTAATTATGCAACTGTAAAGAATTACAATGATTCTGAGAAACACCGCATAACATGGAAGCCTGGAGGTGACTCTGCTGAGTGAAATAAGCCAGTCATAACAGAATAAATAGTGTACAAGAGCACTGTTACAACAAATTAAAGAAAAGTTGAAACACGGAACCAATCTTGGATAGTTACCAGTTATGGGATGGAAGGAAGACGGGAGTTAAGTTAATAGACAATATTGCTCTTTTTGTTATGCATAACTGAGTCAGAATCAACTCTCAACTGACCCTTCAGTGGATTTTCAGAGGCAGTAAATGGCACAGATTATTCATCTTTCTCCTTTGAAGCAACTGGTGGATTCAAACCTCATTTTTCTGCATTAGGAGTGCAATCACTTACTATTAAGCCACCAGAGCTCCCTATATGCAATACTAAGTATGGATATTTTGGTCAGAGGGAAAAGTGGATGAAGACAATATACAATAGGGGGATGATATGACATTGTAGACATTGCAATTAAAGGTATGGAACCAAATATGGTTGCATGAAAAATTAATATACTTTGTAAACTTTAAATTATATGACAATAATTTGAAGAACTGAATCTATGCCTCTAACTTAAGTAGCACATTAAGTCCCAGGGGTTATGGTAAATGATAAATATGATAATGATCTTAAAATGCTTACCATGATGCACAGTACAAAGAAAGCACTTAAATGACATTTTACTTGGAGGAAGTAACTTAGGGAGGGATTGAAAGAAGGGTATGATTTTGAGGTGTAAAAACTGAAAGCAAAAGGATACTAAAAACAGGAAGTGCAACTATCAAATGATAAGAGAATCAGACATGTTGTTATGTGCTGTTGAGTTGCTTACGACGCTTAGCGACCTTATGTACAACAGCCCTAAACTCTGCTCTGTCCTGTGCCAATCACAGCGTCTCCGATACACCCATCCCAATTACCCCAGTCACTGAATCAATCCACCTCATAGAGGGCCTTCCCCTTCTGCGCTGTCCCTCCACCCTATCAAGCATGATGTCCCTCTCCGAGGACCTCTCCCTCTTTACAGCATGTCCAAAGTATGTTAGATGGAATCAGACATAAACAATGGAAATAGGACATTTCCCAAAAATGTCTCTCAAAGAGCTGATCAATTCTGGGATATTAATTATAATTTCCTTATTCCGTTTTGTCTTTTCCCCAAGAGTATGTACGTACATGTTTTTAGAGGGAGTACTTAATCCAGTTAGAAGTGGTTTTCTTCTATCAGTTTAGTTGCAAGGAAACAAACTGAAGACCACCTTTGTCACTTTAAAGCCAGTGAACGTAAGGGTCATTTTTCTTTATCTTTATGAGATGCTCTTTTCCTCCTGTCTCCTAGACGACCACGAATGGTCTTTGCCTGCACCTCATACAGTTAAATGATAAGTGCTCCAAGGACTTGTGTGCATAAAACTTTCCTTTTCTAACATAGTTAAGCACACTCATCACACATTTAATAGGGAAAAACTAGAACTTCATGTTAAGAAATTGCTAGTTACTCTGTTTCTACCCAAAAGGTGGGATGCCTTTTTTAGTGTTTCTTGATTAGCTCCAGAGGTTTCACAGAGGTGTCAAAATTTGAGCAAAACCTTCAAGGAGAAGTTCAAGTTCCTGCAAGGAGATTGACACCGAAATATCAGGAAATGGAATTTGAACTTTCATTCTTTTACTTCCTTGGATGACATAAAAGAACCGGAAATGGGACAGGTACCATCCATAACCTTGACTTAAGATACTATTTTAAATAACTGACAAAAACTCTAAGACTATCTTCCAAGAGCATTTGGAATTTAGGATGCCTGGGAATCATATTTAGCCAAGGTGACTGTCCCACACAGTCTTTTTTGAGAAAGTATATTTGAAGATACCACCTGGTAAAAGCTAATACGAATGTTTGTCTCAGCAGTGAGCTGTCAGCTGTCAACATGATGCTTCTGAGTCCATCATTCTTCATGTTTAAGGGGTCATGGTTTGCATGGAGTCCTGTTACTCAAGGCCCAGCAACAAGACCGAATGCTAAATGAAGCACTCTTACTGTTCAACCAGTAGGTGGCAGATTCCCCCAAGGTGACACCAACTCCACCAGGGTTCTATATTCCCCTTACTATCCAGATCAGCCTCATTTCACTTTTATCCCTAAAACACCATGACTTATGAAGGAAATGGCCAAGAAAAAATAAAGCTGAATGTGACCCCGACTCCCTGTTTGTATTGCCCTCCCGGGTCCTCTGTTCTCATCCAAACCCTCTCAAATGGCAGAGGCCTTACCTCGTTAGAATGTGTTCTGTTTTGATGCTTGGCGCGATCAGAGGCGTTTGAGAAGGCCTTGTTGCAACCTTCATGCTCACAGACATATGGTTTCTCTCCAGTGTGAGATCTCAAGTGGGTTTTCAAGTTTTCTAGTCGTGAGTAGGCCTTTGTGCAACCTTCAAACTGAGAACAGGAGGTAAATCAGGATTACACCACACAATACGTTATGCTTAACAGCTCCTGAAAACTGAGGTTTCGAGAGCCAGCAGTTTTACAAAACCAACTAACAAAAGTCCACTAAACTTACCCTTAATGAAATTCAGTTGTGGCTCAGTGCAGTTCAAAATTAAGCACTTTCAGCACTGATAAGTCTTGAAGCTATGTTTTTGTTTGTCTCATAAAATAGATTGTTTAATGTTGATAATGGGTTTCATTCCCACTGATTTCAGATTCAGCACAGAGTTCATGAATATGGCTTTTGCATCCACACAAAGACACGGAATTTGATCACACTTAAAAAGATCCTTCAAGATGTAAAGTACCAGGGCCAGAACCACACTCAGTGCACATCCAGAGACACTTCAGTGGAGGAAGGCATAACCTTATGGGCAGCCCAGTCTATATGCACTACACCATGGAGAAAATGCTAAAACAATCAGCAATTACGTTTTAAAAAGTCAACAAAGAAGTGTTTAACTAGGGAAGTATTTTCTAACCTTCTCAGGTTCTTGGGTGCCATGACCTCATTTCCAAGGCCAGGGAATGAGTCCCAGCTACTGCGTTCCTGCTGTCTACTTCTAAAACCCATTAGGCCCAAGCTCTGGTGGCCTGCTACCTGGTAAGAAACGTCACTGGAATCCTGAAGGCATATGGTTTGAATTCACCAGCTTCTCCACAGGAGGATGGGTAATCTCCCATGCGATTAACAGCCTCCGAAAACCCACTGGAGAGTCAACTATGGGTCTGTTCTAACTTGATGGAACTCAACAATTAATAGCCCAAGGGAATGCTGGTGGTGTGGGTTATATGAAGTTGCTCAGATCTACCAGAGTGAGTCTCATGACTCACTTCAAACTGAGAATCTCTGTGTTTCTCGGGGGGCTATTAAATCTAAACTGTAATTAAATGAAATGAAATTAAACGTTAAGAAATGAGTTTAACAAATGAGTGGTATTAGATGTATTTCAAGTGTTTAAGAGCCATAGGTAGCAGAAGGCTACTAGGGAAGACAGCACAGATAACAGATTAATTCCAAAAATTCTGAGAGTTTCCTAATCAGTGTTCTCCAGAGGGTCTACCAGTCTTTAGGTCTTGTCACCTACATTTTCTCAAACACCAGGTATTTCTTGCCAGGCAAAATTCCACTTCTTCAGTCCTCTTCCCACTCACCACAAAGGCTCTGTATTACAGCCCTCACCACGGAAAAATTAAGAAAGGCTGACGGACCCAGAGGGTCAACTCTGACGTGCACCCACACCCAGTGACAACCTCAATCTGTTCCCTGATCCCGCTCTGTACTTACAGTGCACTTGTGAGGCTTCTCCCCCGTGTGTCTTCTCATGTGAACTACCAGCATATACTGGGCTTTGAAAGGCTTCTGCTCCCTGGAGCAATCCAGCCACCGGCACACAAACTCCTTCTTCTCTCCGTGGATGTGGTCATTATTAATATGCTAGGGTTTGGGAAAACAGAGCAGAAAGACATCATTCATTTTCAAAGGCAAGATAATGTGGCGGTGGAATCTCAAACCCTAAAAACTACAATATACTTCCTAAAGTGGTAGTAGAGAACATTGGTGATTTTGTGAGAGACTTGGACTCCTGCACTACATTTGCAGCCAGCATCCATCTGTCAGTGGGAGAGTTACGTGATTCTAGAATGAACCAGTCTCAGCTGTTTTTAGACTGCCATGGACCAGATTAAGGGTCTGGTAAATTTCTTCTAAGAATCAGCCATTGAAAGTGTTATGGATCACAGTGGTCCGATCCACAGCCTGGTGCCCAGTAAGTATTGCTTTCCTTTGTGCTTGGGGGTCACCACAGATTGTGCGTATTGAATATCTGAAGATCAAGAATTCAACACTCAGAGTTTTGCTTCTAGCTAGCTGGGAACCACAGCAAGCCACTGCTGTTCTCTCTGGCCCTCCATTCAACAAGCAGTGTTCCCTTCAAGAGCCTACAGAAGCACTCCTCACATCTAAAGGTCTCTGGACACTCAGTCAGCAATGAAGTGCACACTCTACCTAGGGAGCAGGCACACCCACACACACACACACACACACACACACACACACACACGCACACTTTTTGATAATATGAATCAAGAAAGATCAGCTGAGGCACTTATTGCAACAAAACTTTCTCAGATTAGTGACATTCTTTCCTGAATGAAAACCACAGGGAAAAAAAAGAAGATGACATGGAATAAATAGTGCTGTGTGATCTTCTTACGTAACTTAAGTCTCATAGCAGTCTAGATTTCCTCCTGCATAAAACAAGGATAAATTAACTGGTGCTGAAAGTGCTCTCTGACTCTAAGATTCCATTTATAAATAAAGATTAATTTCCCTCAACTTTTTCTCAATTTGAGTTTTTAGAATAATTTTTATGTCGTTCCCAAATTTATGTGAATATCCTAAGGATCCTAAAGTTAGGAGACATGAGAAACATATAGCAGTACTAGAGGAAGGGATGTTCCTTTGCTTATGATCAAAATTAAGGCCAAGTTTTCAAACAGGGTGTATTATTTAAGTGGCTAGTGAGGAAATGCATGCCCCAAGTTGATCCTGTTGGTTTTTATTCTCTGTTCACCCCATACTTGATTATCTTTAAAGTTTAAGAATCAGGGTTGTTTATCTTGGAACAAAGATTTCTGGTGAGCTATTTCTGAAAATGTCTGCCACTGAAAACCTATTCCGATGCTTTCCCACTCTGGCACTTGGGAGTTGCCATGGGTCAAAGTCAATGGTAACTTCCCACCTCCCCTACTCCCCACTCCCACTGCCGCTGAGTTGGAATCGACTCATAGTTTCCAGCAGGTTTTCTTAGGCTGGAAACTGCACAGGAGATTTCCCATCTTTCTCCGTGGCTAAAGGATTCGCAATGCCAGAGGAGCCGCCTTTGGGTAAGCAGTGCAATTTCCTTTGGTCTGTACCACCAGAGCATCGGAGCTCCCTCAAGGACAACATCTTGTTATGTGTTGTCAAGATGGATGCAACTCATAGCAGATTCTCCAATGGGTTTCAAAGGCTGTAGACCATAGGGGAAGAGACTGTTCATCTTTCTCCCTTGGAGTAGCTGGTGGACTCAATGTGCTTTGAGTTTTCAGGTCACTCCTTACCATTAGACAACCAGGACTTCCTAATGCCAGGCAATTTCTCGTTAGCAGCCAACTTCAAGCAATCCCATGAATGACAGATCCGAACACTGTCTTATCCTATGCCATCTCCTCATCATCTCTGACACACACGTGAACCTGATGCTGTAGTCACTGGTAGATCTATCTTGTTGAGGGTTTTCCTCTCTTTCGTTGACCCCCTACTTTTCTAAACATAACGTTCCTTTCTAAGGGGTAGCCTCTCCTAGCAACATGCCCAAAGTATGTAAGATTAAGCTTCACCATCCTTGTCCCAACGAGCATTTTGGTTGCACTTTTCCAAAGCTATATCTGTTTGTTCTTTTGCCACTCCATGGTATATTCAGTATTCTTTTCTGACATCACAATTCAAAGACATCACTTTTTCTTTTGTTATCCTTCATTGTCCAGCTCTCAGATGCATACAAGTGATCAGAAAGACCATGGCCTGCATCAAGTGCACTTTAGTCCTTAAAATTATATCACTGCTCTTCAGTAGTTTGGAGACGTCCCTGACAGAAGCCTTGCCAATTCTATATGTCTCTGGATCTCCTATCTGCTGGTACTGAGGGTACTGATTATGAAATAGGTGACAATTTCAATCTTTTCTCCATCTATCATGATGTCTGCTGTTAGGGACCTCTCCAAAGTGCTGAAGAGCAATGGTGTCTCTTTGGAGACTAAGGTGTGTCTGATACAGGCCATGGTCTTCGCAATCACCTGTCATGCATCAGAGAGTTGAACAATGACCAAGGAGGACAGAAGGAGAATTGATGCCTTTGAGCTGTGGTGCTGGACGAGAGTATTGAGAATACCATGGACTGCTAGGAAAACAAACAGATTTGTCCTGGAAAGGGTTAAACCGGGTGGCCCTTTGGAGGCAAGGATTCTGAGGCTCCGTCTAACATACTTTGGACATGTTGTGAGGAGAGACCGGTCCTTAGAGAGGGACATCATGCTTGGGAGGGTGGAGGGACAGCGCAGGAGAGGAAGGCCCTCTATGAGGTGGATTGATTCAGTGACTGGGATAATTGGGATGGGAGTGTCAGAGACAGTGCGACTGGCACAGGACAGAGCGGAGTTTAGGGCTGTTGTACATAGGGTCGCTATGAGTCGCAGGCAACTCGACGGCACATAACAACAATAACAACAACAACAACATCATGATGTCGCTTATCTGTCCAGTGGTGAGGACTTTTGCCTTTTTGGCAGGTAGTAATTTAAGTCTTATGCAAGGGCTTTCTCAAACATCCATAGAAGTAAGTCATTACAAAATACGTGCAACAAAAGAAAGCTATGTTTCAGCCCCATGGGGTCTGGGTAGCAACGGATGGTGTTACAGACGGTATTACGATCTGCAGTTCCCAATTACTCCACTAGGTGGCCCACTGCTTTACGGGAAAACAAGCTTTTTTCCCCCTCAGTGTTTCTGGATTCTAAAACTGGATGAGAGCTGAGAAAACAAATCATTACTCATTCTCTTCCTCAAGCAGATTCCAGAAAGCATGAAGAACAGAAAATAGAGTCAGCAGTGTGTCCCAGCACACAAGAAAACAACCAAAGACTTTCAGAAGTCCTGAAAACAACACAGAAGCCAAAGAGAACTACTCATAGTCACAAGGGCAAAGAGAAGAAGGGGAGTAAGGAGCAAACAGAAGTTTAAACTGGGAAATGGGAATTTCTGTTTCTATTGAGCTCTGCGAGACCAGGAGCAATGTCTTCCTAGTCTCACATTCTCAGTAACTAACTGTTCCGGGTGCACTCCATGAATGTTTCCAAAATTTTCACTAATGTGACTGATCATACAATAAGAGGCAACAGAAACACGACTTTATGCTTTTGCTTATCTTAATTCAACTTTATTATACTTAGTAACTCATGGAATAGGAATTCAACACTAGCTGTTTGATTAAAATAATGTACCATCCAGAATTCTAAAGGATGACAGGTGTCCCAACAGAAACCCTAGCTTGCTAGTTGAATAAAAGGACGATACTGTGGTGGCAGCATTGCGCTCTCGAATTTACAAGCAGGAGTGAAGTGCTGCTTGATGGCAGTCCCAAGCCGGGGAATCAGACAGACATGATTACAGCCTTAAGGAAATTACAGCCCACTGCGGGTGGGGGAAACTGGGAATTAAGTAAATTGCTATACAATTATAGTTGTGATAAATGCTGTGAAGGGAAATAGCAGGGTTTTATAAAAACCTATAGTGGGGGTCCTAAATCAATATGAGTGTCAGGGAATGAGGGTCAGTGTAAACGAGATGCAATGAATGGGGGGGAGGAGGCCTGAAGTAGGAAGAGTGGAGTGCCCCCAGGTGTGCGCAGGTGCAAACAGCTAGAGGGGATGGAGGGGCTAGAGGCATGCTACTGCAGACAGATTAGCTGGGGGGGGGGGAAGAGGACCAAACTAGGGCCCTGAACACACTGGTAAGCATCAGTAGTGACAGGATGGAAACGAGACCCAGGTTGTACCTTCACTCTCACTTCTTAAAGAGAGAGGCCTAAATTTCCCATTATATGATCCAGGGGATACCAATGAAACGGCTGAGTGAGGGTTAGCTTGCCAAAACTCCCATAAAAAAAAGCAAACAAAACTCAAAACCAAGTGGTTGCCACAAAATGAATTCTGATTCATGACCCCATGTGTGTCTGTGCAGAATGGGGCTGCTTTTGGTTTTCAGTGCTGTGTTTTTCTGAAAGCCAGGCCCTTCTCCAGAAACACCTATGGGTGGGCTCAAACCTCCATACTTTTGGGTTAATAGCCACGTTAGAAACACTCTTACAACACAGCATGTGTGGTCTGGTGTCCAGCATCAGGTGCATAGGTTGTGCCTGTGGGTAGAAAACACTCACACTCACACACACACACTCACACTCACACACACACACACACACACACACACGATACTGAGGGCCATCTGGAGCTGGAGAAGGTGGGTAGCCAATAGGGGGATGCTCCAATAGATGGTGGTAAAACCAGAGACATCTGACCTTTCCCATGGTCCCCACTCAAATTTACAGCAGGAACCACATTCAAGGAGAATGCAGAGAAAAACGGGTTTTGAACTAAACATGAAAGTAGGATTTAAAACTGGATGGGTTTTAAGAACTTACAATGGGGAGGTTAGGGAATGTCCTATCCTTGGGTTGGGGGATCTGCTGCTTAGTAGAGCAGGAAGTATTGGCAATGAGTTGTTAAGATGAATCCCTAGAAATACAATAATAAATTTTTGTTTATACCTTGCCATTTTGTCTCCTTCTGCCTCTGAAACAATGCCTGCTAGTTAAGTGGCGGCACCGAGGGCAGATCCTA